AGAAGGACATTGTGAGGAACAGGAAGATGTTGGTGGGACAGGAGACCCAGCCCCAGAGATACTTCCAGGACCTTAGAACAGCTAGACTGGAAGGACTTAAAGTTGGGGTGAAAAAAATCAAAATCGGGGCCCTGGGGCTGGGATGTCCCATCTGGGGTGGGGTCTGGGAGCCCTGCTCACGTCCATGCGCTTGCTCTCGTAGAAGTCGGCCGAGCGCCGGTCCTTCACCATCTTCTCGATGATGTCCCCGCGGCTCCAGCCATCAAAGACCACCTTGCCATGCTGGTAGCCCACRTCCTGTGGGGAGAGTGGCCCACTGGCTGGGGCAACCTGATGGGGCRCCTAGGTAGCCCACACGAGGGCCAGGACAATCTACGCAATAGTGTGGGCAAGCCACACAATTATGGGGGCAACCTAACCAATGACCAGGGTACCCCACGTGATGGTCTGGGCCACCCAACCATTGAGCAGGGCACCTACACAGAGGTTGGGGCCACCCAACTGTTGACTAGGGCAAGTCAACTGATGGCCTCAGTACCCTCAATGAAGGCCAAGACACCCCAAGGGAAGACCTGGGCACCCCATTTATGGTTGGAGGACCCCAAACTAAGGCCAAGATACCCCAAGGGAAGACCTGGACACCCTGTTTATGGTTGGAGGACCCCAAACTAAGGCCAAGATACCCCAAGGGAAGACCTGAGGACCCCATTAACGGCTGAGACATCCCAAAGGAAGGCCAAGACATCCCAAAGGAAGACCTAGGCATCCCATTTATGGTTGGAGGACCCCAAACTAAGGCCAAGGTCCCCCAAATGAAGACCTGAGGATCCCATTTATGCTTGGAGGACCAAACCAAGGCTAAGATCCCCCAAAAGAAGACCCCAAAGGAAGAAATGAAGACCATTAATGGTTAGGACGTCCCAAAGGAAGACCAAGACACCCCAAAAGAAGACCAAGAAACTCAAAGGAAGACCAAGAAACCCCAAAGGAAGACCCAGACACCCCAAAGGAAGACCCAGRCACCCCAAAGGAAGACCCAGGCGCCCCACCCGCCACCCTCCCCCTGCCCAACTCACGTAGATCTCGTCGAACTTGCCGAAATCCATGGTCTTGAAGCGGTCGATGGGCGGCCGGATGTACTCGCAGTAGGAGCTCGACTTGACCACCTCCAGCTGCCGCACGCACGACACGTAGGCCAAGCGCGACTGGATCTCGGCCATGTCGGGGACCTACGGCACCAGGTGCTCAACGGGGGTCCCCTCCAGCACCCTAGGGTGCCCTCACCGGTGGGCACAGCGCTCCCCACCTTGACTTTTTCAGCCCAAGGGTTGAGGCGCTTCCAGAGGAGCCACCACCCCGAGAGGCTGTCCCCGTAGTTGCACAGGTCGGTCTCGTCCTGGCTGCCCACGTCGATGGCGATGACCGTCTTGGCACCCATGTTGCGGGCGATGTCGGCTGCGGGATGGGAGAAGAGCCGGGCGTCGGGGTGGCTCGCCAGGCACCGGCTCGGYAGCACCCAAGGGTCCTCTCCAGGTCCCCCAATGAGAGCGGGGTGGGGAGATGGTGCGGGTGGCACCTCGAGAGCGAGGTGGCCCGCAAAGCCGTGGTGGCACCTGGTGGCATGGAGTCCCATAGGTGGCAGCAGCAGATTGAGGGGACATGGTGGCTGGGAGAAGCGAGAGAGATGATGATGGATCTATGGTGGGATGGAGCAYCCCAGGAAGGTGGCCAAGGTGGGCACCCATGGCCACCCAAGCACTGAGGGTGTCCAAAGAGGGCACCCAGTGCCAAGATGTCCCCAGTGCTGAGATGCACCTGAGCACCAARGATGCTCCAGAAGGGCACCCGGTGCCAAGATGCCCCCAGTGTTGAGGACACCGCAGGAGGGCACCTGATGCCAAGAGGCACCCAAGCACCAAAGGTGCCCCTGGAAGGTGCTAAGATGCACCCAAGGGTGGCCAAAGAAGGCCCTTGATGCCAAGATGCACCCAAGCACCAAAGGTGCCCCTGGAAGGTGCTAAGATGCACCCAAGGGTGGCCAAAGTGGGCACCTGGAGCCAAGATGCACCCAAC